GTAAGAAGGAAAAATATAAAATTCTTTTGTGGTACTAATAGTATTACGTACAAATCACACAAGTTTTTCATTCTAAATACTGAATCATATTATTATTATTATTATGAACTAAATATAAAATTATGCTAAGTTATTGAGCTTAAAACTACAAATTTAAATTCAAAGGAATATAAAAAATAACAAACTCTTTCAGTTCAAAGTCCTAAGTCTAATTCATGTAAAGACTTTGCACTCGCCACTTGGTAACTCTTAACCCTAACAATCGTGGATCAACTTCTTTCCTAACAGATATATCTATTTTGAGTTAATTTTTCAATATAATATAAACTGATATACCATGCAGCATGACTTAAGCTACTATATAAGAAAAATAAGTCACGTATATCCCATGCAGTTTCTTCCAGAAGCAACTTTTCTAACGCTTATAGAAAAGCCCTATTGGCCAGTACTAAATACAACCTCTACATAAAATGGCAGTTACTATAATAAGCACCACCCACATTCATATTATAAAATCCAGAGAACAACGTTTCATCACGTGCTTTCCTTATCCTATGATTTGTCAAATGGGAGATACAGCAATTAGAATAATTGGTACTGAAATTGACACTTTCAACTAGGATTGGCTAAAGGTTTTACAACTGAGGTTTAACACGCCCAGACGCAGTTTTATAAAGAAAACACACTAGAAAAAGGTTTAGATACCAATCATAGATGGCAGAACCAGTGCTGAGGTGAAAGGAAATATCTTAAAAAAATTTTTGAAAAAAACATTTCTTCTTAGAGGGTGCTTATTTACAGTCTAAAACGTATTTTAGGAATTTTTCCATTAAATTCCTCTTTAAAATTCATTAAAGAATACAATTTTGTACAAATAATTGAATGTTATGCTACTATTTATAAAAATAAAATCAGAAATCCATTAAAAGATAAGTTCTCTATCATTTTTTCAATTCACAAATGCACACTTGCATTGCCTACTGAGAAAGTTAGTACCGGTAGTCATCGGGTTAATGAATTCGAGGAACCATGGCTTGAGTTGTGCAGCTGCATCGCTATTGACTGACCCAGCTTCATATTATGCAGGTTGAAGCGTTGCTTAAATTTGGCAAACCAGCCTTTACTTGCCTGAAACTCTCTAGCATCCACAGCACTTCCACACTCATTGAAGACTACGTATTCATATAAACTGTGCTTTCTCACATATAGCTATGCTATCATTAACAGAGCCTTTTTAATTCACTGATCCACACATTCAATAATTTTTGCCTCCTACACACGTGAGAAACGTTAGCACTTATAGGGGCAGAAGCCTTAACACTTGCATGGATTATCTCTTCACTCCTCCCAATCATATGTATAGAAAACTCATTCACATCATATTCCCACCCTATGGATGCTACACTTATCCCACTTTGTAATTTATCAAGGATCTGAATTTTCTCAGCTGATGTCATAACTTTACGGCTTTTCTTTGGCTCACTAACACAACAGATGCTTTACATTTGGATTCCATACTGCTATCTAAGGGTAATTAAGAAAAGCAGCAAAAAATGGCAAAAATAAATAGACTACACGGGACTGAACTTAGCCTGATCTCTTAGACATGTGGTGGGGATGGAGTGATGCTTGGTAAGCTGGAGATTATTTATTTCAATCCTTACTGGTATCCTTTACTGTGCATGTCACAAGGTTTTTGTGTCTCATGTTCAAAGTTTTTATTAAATTACTTTTTGTTTATGTTATACCAATTAGTATAGCATACAATCTTAGCTAATAATCCATATTTTAATAGTATATAAGTTTTAAGTTCTTAATTCTATAAGGCAATATTTAAAAAAAATCCTGAATTTCCCCTTGTGTTATACATGTGACACATTTTTTCTTAGCATATTATCATCCCTATTTTATCCACCACCCCTCGAAAAAGTATGAAATTAAACTCCTTCAGTAATGATGAAATGAAACTTAAATTACTCACTATAGTAATCGTAATTGTATAGACAAACTATAATTTTTATAGCCATCAATTTTGTTTGGTTACAGTGTATATCAAATAGAAAAATCAGACCCCTCCTGCTACACCCACCTGTCTCATCCTCTCTTTCAGGATTTTTTAGTAGTTCTCTCTTATGTTTAAGTATATATTTTCTATAACCAATAGAAAGTCAATGTTTGCATATATCAAATGACGTATTATATTACATTGTATTCTGAACAGATAAGATATCAATTTCAATTATAATACACAGCCTATTCTCATGGGAATGTTAATGACTAGTTTGGATGAATTTGTAATGGCTCTTGTCGCATAGTTGGAAAGCCATAAAAAATTTGAAGTTAGGGGAAATTGTTTAATTTTTGTATGTTATTATTCTATGTTCTTTAGTGCATTATTTTATTGTAAAATGTAATTATAAATAGATTTATACTGTTACGAGCATATAACTACTTAGGATATACAACTGTAGTTTCATTTACAATTTGAAATCATTATAGAAAGAAAAAAGTGTAATTTAAATTTATTTATTTTTATTTTTTTGGTGGTTATGAGGTCGGTTAGTTTCTTAAATATACTTCACTAAAAGAATGAGTTTTTGTATGTGAAACACTTATAGTGTTCACTGAAAGAATGTCAAGTAACTATATTGAAAGTTAGAAGTATTAAATCTATAAAGACTTTAAATGAGTACAAAAAGGAGATGTGGAATGAGCCCACGTTAAGAGAGTTATAATGATCTAGAGCACTCATATGTTTGTGTGTTGGGCGAACCATGTATAATCAAATTTTCCGTATTCATCAGATAATTGGAGGAACCCGCATTGTAGGAGGGTTTACTGTATATCATATTAATCCAAATTCAGGATATAAATTTATTGTTAACTAATTACTCAATGTATGTTGTGATTATTACTTGCTTTTAAGTTGAAGTTACTTAGTAAACAATAAAGAGTATCATGAGACACAAACATTTTTTAGTACATTGAAACACAAGTATTATATGTGTACATTTGTTGCAATCCAGGTTGGAATATTCTTAAGGTTTAAAAGCATCCAGTAAAAGATAATATAGTCTGGACTTTGCAGATTTGTGTCACTTGCCATCCATAATAGAAATTTTACAAGGATATGTAAAGCATGGAAATAACTCCATCATATTAAGCTTACTTACATGTTTGTGCTATGCAATGAACAAGAATCTTGTCAGGCAATGTAGTTTCTCTAAGTGATAGAGAAAGTTAATGTGAGTTTTGTTCTAATAGCTAAAATTAACATTGTAATAAAAGATTTAAGAAATAGAAACTATAAAATCATACAAGTAAAAAAAGGGAGAATTGAAATTTATTTGGATATTTATACCACAACCATAAAAGGGGGAAAAAAGTCAACTTTTTTTCAATGGTGTCTCAGGATGATTGATTCAGCTTTGTTTGTGCCTTCCCTTTTATCAATAATGTTGCTTCCAAATTGCTTCTTTCCGAGTGTATTTAAAGACTATTTGCATTCTTCTCAGAATATTTCCTTATTACAGGCTCTTATTACAAAACTTTACCTCAAGATGCATAAGATATCTAAAACTTTATTGATTTATACAAAAGCAGGTATCTTACGTACATCCATTTTAAATTGCAGTTTTTTTATTTATTCTTTTTTTTTCAGGTGGCATCAGTGCAACAATATGGAGCATTTATCAAGATTCCAGGATGTGCTAAAAATGGTAGTCAGATTTAGCTGTTCTACATATATATATATATATATATATATATATATATACACATACATACATACATACATACAGTAGTGTAGTGGTGTGGAAACGGCATTCCTTTATTATTATTTTTTTGCTGTTCCCTCACTATTTTGAAGGAATCTGGCCTTACAAATCTCAAATTTCATAAAGTTTTGCCCACCTGTAGAAGAAAGAATCATTAACCCTTTCATCCAGGTTGTAGGCAAATTATCAAAGTTTAATAATGAAAGCATGGTTGGGTAGAGTTTATCAACTTGTTTGCAGTGAGAGAAAATATTTACGATATGGCTATATACAAAGTCTCATCCAATCCAATAAACTTGTTAGGTAGTTGAATGTTAGTGACCTCCCAAGGTGATCGGGATTTAGCGGTATAAGTGTAAAAGTGTATAAGAACTAATGAACATCCTGTTTCTTATTTAACTATACTTACACAATAACCAATAAATGCATATTTTCCAGTAATATAACTATGGCCCATTTTGATTTAGCTAATATTTCTAACTTAGCCTTCTTGTTAATTACTTTAGAAGCCTTACAAAAGAGGGATATTGCTATAGTTTATGCAGACAAGTTAAATCGTCACAGCATATAGTTTTTAGAAGCAATGAAAGAACATAAGGGTAAAAAGGACTTAGATGCAGAGAATGCCATTAAGAAAATGAAGTTTTAGTAATAATGATGAGAGATAACAACAAGATTGTTTCAATCAATCATGGTCAATTTTTAACCAGTATCATAAACAATATGAAACAATGGTTATTCACACCAAATGTATTTCCAATAATACTTACCTCTGGTGACACTCTCCTGCCCTTGCTTCCCACTAAAAGTAGGTGTTAGAGACTAGGAGGGTATCAGTCTCAAAAAAGTGATAAAATTATATGAATCAGGTGCTTGTATACAATACCATTATAGAGGCACATTGATGTAGGTGGAGAGTATATTGCCAAGGGCAATTTCGCGGGGTATAAAAGACTGGAGCAAGTGAGAAAAAATCAGACCAATTCTTAGATGGGCAAAGATTGAAATCCTGGCAGTTGAGTAATAGCTATGTGTCAGCAAAGGTAATTATTATTGGAGTACATTTTCATTTTAAGAAATTGTTAACCTTTCCGCATTCTTACTCTACTATTTTACTATTATTTGGAACAGGCCTTGTGCACAAGTCTCAAATATCCAATAGTAAAGTTGATGATGCCACTGAAGTTTTGATTGTAGGAGAAAAAGTATGGTGTAAAGTACTTTCATTTGGAGTAAGTAAATTAACATAATACATTACATTGTATAAGCAAAGTAACAGTTTTTTATGGCTTTTCTGAACTCGGTATACAGTTGTTTTTAACATTGTTAAATATTTCTTGTAAAAAGAATTTTATATGAATTTGATTTCAGATTCTTTCTTCTTTTATACAATAAATTTCAAGCTGCTTCACAAATAGGTAAAGGTATTAGCACTTACTAGAGTTGACTTGTGACATTGCTGTCTCCTTTTTTTTGCCTATAATAATAATGGTCACTTGCAGTGTCATGCTTATGTTAATATAGTTTTGACCAAATATTTTATTTTTGTACTAAAAAGTTGTTACCTATTGCTTATCATTAATGGTTTTATATTTTACAGAGTAATAATATTGCATATTACATATTTTATCTAAAAATGAAAAGGAGTTGTGGTAATTAACTTTGAAATTACTAACTTTTTTTTTTATAATTTCACTACTGAGGGGTTACACATGTAATATGAGTAATTTTATACTTTGTCTATTAAAACACGCAGTGTAAAGAACTGGCCTAAAACATTTTCTGTGTAAGATATGTTGAGAATCCCATTAGTAATTAACTGCATTATTGATGGTATTTTTGTTTTGTATGATTGATACATTATTAAGGATCTTGCAAACAATCTGGAGCATAAATACCTTAGAAAGATATGTTTAAAAACCAATAAGTAATTTGAGATTTTTGCTAATACAAATAAAGTAGAAAACTAAAAATTTTCAAGAGGACAAAAACAGTAAATAATTAATTTTGCTCTGTATTTGTTTATAGTGGAAATAACAATTAGTTCTTGATAAGAGCACAGAAGATGTCTATAGTGTTTTCTCTCTTTGTCTTTTTTTCTTCACTTCATACATAAAGCTAATTTCCACTATCGAACTGTATGATTTATGTTTATCATTATTTCTTACATGATATCAAAACTAGAAGTTCTTTGTGGCATAATACTTGTATACTTGTTGAAGTCAGGTTAATGATATGTTTTTAACATTATACTTGTAACAGTGTTGATGGTGTTCTAGGTGTCTTAGCTGTCACTATGCAATGCCTCTGATAGTCACAGTTAAGTGGGTAACACAAGTTATCATACTAATAAGTTAAACTTGAAATTCCATGCAATAGCTTGGAAGGTAGGAGTGTCAACTCTTTTTCAGCTATTGATCTCAAAGCCACACAGGCTGCAGATCACATGATCATCCTAACTGCAGAAACCTAGTATCTTTGGATACATTGCAGAAATTATTCATAAATTTTTGAGGTAGCAAAAGTATGGGGTACTACATCCTTTTGGCTTACAGCTATAATAATGGATACAACTTATTGTTTGGTTTTATGTTATTGATTGGAGGGTTGATGTTCTCCTTCTCCTCTTCTTCTTTGTTCAGATCAGATAAGTATTCAACAGTGTTTTCACCACTGTATGAAATTTTGACTCATTCACTCTGTACTTTCTGGTTAATTCAGTATTGTAGAAGCTTGTCACTGATGTACAATTTCAGATTATCAATATAATTTATGCAGTTTTTCATTTCACACAATCTTTGAGTCTCATAGTTTGATGAATTGAGTTGCTGCAGCTGAAAATATAGTCCAGTTCAGCAGGATCTGACTGTCTTGCATGTTGTTGGAGTATGCCAGAGCTACACCCATTATTCTCATTCAAACAGATATTCTTTCACTGTCTTATCATATTCTCTCAACTATTGTTCCTTCACCAAATGTCCTCTTCTGTCTCTTGGCCTCTTTCACCATCTGTTGGTATGTATTTATGTAAACTAATGTGGATCACAACCACTCCAAGTATTCTCGCAGACATAAAGGCAATACCGTAGTTGTTGGCAGTCATACATGTGATCTACTAGGAGCATAACTTCTCATTTAAAAATGTTAATAGTTCGAGAACAGATGGTGAACTGTTGTTCACTGGCATGGATATGACATTACTTCCTATGGTAGATCATCGTTCCAGCTATTTTAATTTGAGCTCATAGATGTAGAAAGCATACATTTTATAGTTTGGTCAGTTTAATAAGGTATTTCATTGGATGAATGACTTACAAGTCACTGACAGTCTTAAGTGCACTGACATTCAGTGCATTTTGTACACCATTGTTATGCATCTCTGTGAGAATGTGGTAAGTGAAACCATTTCTACAAGTTAGCTGTAGTGAGAGATACTCTTTGCCCATTTTCCCTATGTTATGTTGGGTTCAAAAATCTTGGATCTTGAGCTGGTCATAGCAATCAAACAATTGCCAAAAATTTGATACATGTTTTCATAGTATGTTCACTGGTCTGTGATGGTCATGTTTCAACTTGCTATATAGAAAGTAGTACCCATGTTAGATCTGGTCCTTTAATTGCTCTTTCATATCTTCTTCATTGTACTTAGTATCCATTCTTCAGTGGAATTGTCACTAGTTGCATGGCTTATTGTCACAGCAGCATATGTCCAGGATTTGGACATTACAGTGAACAAGCTCTCACCTGCTGGCGGGAATGTCCACCTGAATTTTTATACTGCAAGCACAATCAGGCAGGATTCTAATGGTTGCCCAAGATGACTAAAAACTTACTCGGACGACCAACTTAAACCTCCGTGTTGTCCAATGGATGAGTAGCTTTCTGGAACAGATCCTTACTCAAAACAGCATTGTAGTCTACTGTACACTTATTCATGCGCACACTTCACATGTAATATTGACTCTGATCCACTACCAAAATCATTGGTAGTTTCACTAACTAAGAACTCAAATTTGAACCCTCCCCCCCCCCCCTTACAATGAATGTATTTTGGTCTCTTTTTTTTTTTTGTTTAAAAAAGATTGTACTTTGTACAAGAGAAATGTTGGTACAATCCACCAAAAGGGACTGAAAATGTTAGGAAAAGGTTATTTTTGTGATTGGCTAATAATGCTGTTTTAGTCACTAAACTTTTTGTCATGGACAAGCAGTATGTTTGTGTTGCTTTATGCACGTAAATTTTGTATGGAGTTCAACTGAACATGAATGATTGTGTGGTAACATAGTACAGTGTATACAGCTCAGTTGGTTACATTACCACACATTGTATTGCACAATGTTTGTATGCATATATATATATATATAT